ATGAGTCTGCCTACCGAGATGAGATGGAGTGGTTGCTTCCATGGTGTGGTCCTCAACACCAATAAGACCAAGGAGCTTATGTGGATTAAAGAAGGAACAGATCAGAAAATCAGCCCTTGCTTATCAATGGAGACCGAGTGGAGCAAGTGGCCAGTTTAAGTTTCTGGGTGTTACCATAAAAGAGGACCTGACCTGGGATGCTCACACTGCAGCACTGGTCAAAAGGGCCCAGCAGAGATTATACTACCTGAGACTTCTCAGAAAACAACAACTGAATGAAAAAGTGCTGGTGAACTTCTACCACTGCACCATAGAGAGCATTTTAACTTACTGCACCTCTGTATGGTTTGCCAATTACACAGTGGCAGATAGGAAAGTACTCCAGAGGGTTAATGTCATTGCCCAGAAGATCATTGGTTGCCCTCTTCCCTTTTTGGAAGAGTTTTTTAGCTCCCGCTGCCTTAAGAAAGTTCAAAACATTCTCAGAGATCCATCTCATCCTGGGAACCCTTTTTTTGAACGATTACCATCTGACAGATGGTACAGGATATTAAAAACAAGCACAAATAGGCTGAAAAACAGCTTCCATCCAAGGGCAGTAGTTCTTTTGAATTCTGCTGGATAGTACAGTGTTGGTGCGGTGTTGGGGGTTTTCAGTTCAATGTGTGGAGGGTGAAGGATGTGTGTTTGTGTTTATTTTCATGGTCATGGTCATGATGTGCACTGAAGATGGTGCTTGATTTCATTGTATGAGGTGCAATGACAATAAAGTAAACTAAACTAAACTGGGCGGGGGCAGGGCCAGCAGGTGACACATCTGGCCCACAGGCTGTGAGTTTGACACCCCTAATCTATGGGATTTTTATTTATTTTCAACCTTAACATAGTATCATCTCAATACAATATTCTACATGATTTACAAACATTCAAAACACCATTAAACATTCATTTTTAACTATTCAGAGAGAGAAAAATAAGTGAATTAAAAAAGATAGCAAAATATGAATCCCAATCTATTGGTGGAAAGATGATAGGTAAAAGATTTTAGTCTTTTCTCAAAATGTCCCTTATCACTGCTCCAATTTCTTAGTCTCTTTTGTTCCTCATGCAATGGCAATACATCTGCTATGTCTGATTTTGTCACATTTCAAATATCAAAGGATATGTCCATTTCGGTGCCTGGGTTGCAATCTTGTGATTGTTATTCATGTTTGTTATTCATTATTCATGTTGTTCATTGAGGAATATTGACCAAACAATCTCCATCTTTACAGCAATTTATGCTGTCTTAAGTAGAAAAGTTGCAAAAGGATGCCAGGCTCTTAGGTCAAAAGATCTTAAGTCACAAATCAGTTGACTGGGAATTCAAATGGCACAAAGCCAAGAACTTTCAAAGGCCAGGCAAAGTGGAACTTCCAATATAGAATTATAGCCTTGAAAAAAATGTGGGTCCTTTATTCCAAGCAGAAATGTGTATACGAGCTGGAGAAAAAGAACTAAGTGCAAAGAACAGCATCTAAAATGGCAAGAAGGAGAAATGAAAAGGTTGATACTTGGGCCCGAGCACAAGCTACCAGAGATATTGCTAATTATCAAAATGTCTTTGTCTGATAACGGGCTTTCCTTCTTTGCTTGTATTATTGGAATGATTCTTCTTCAGGAAGATGCTGGAGGAAAAGACTACATGTCCTTCTTTACAGAAACCAATATCTTGAGAACAATATTCAACCTAATGTAACACTTCAGCTACTTCTCAAGTCACACTCTCCTTTTTGCCTTTCTGTATTCATTGCTCTCACTTCTCACTTCTCTATGAGCACCATATCCAATGAGAACATAAAGCATCTTCTATGCTCAGCGATATATTAGCTAAGCACTAAGTGATGATAATACAGAACCTGTTTGGGTGTCTGCAGGCCTTCAGAAATATGTGAGAGATACAGCACTATAGTGACAAGCAGGCACATCTCAATGACCATTCAATTATAAATATAAATATAAACATTCCTGGTAATTTATGGTGATGATTGCTTGCCAGTCGGGTCCAAAAATCAATCAAATATAGTTACATATTGCGGCTTAGTTAGGCTAAGTTTCCATGTTACTACTGGAAAGAGAGGGTTTGTCAAATCTTCCTCCAGGAGGCAAACTTCTTTTCAGATAATTCATTCCACTTTAAAATGTTTCCATTTGTATGACAAAATAAATTTGAGAAGTACATATATTTTTCTTGCCTACATGCCAAAAATAATGTGTGTACAGAAGACTGAAGGCCCAAAGAAAGGAACAAGGAAGAAACATTTCCTACCTGTACTTTTTTTTAAATGCAAGAAGTATATTAAAAACAGGATCTCGGGTGACGTCGCGGCATGGCGATGTAGGAGAACTCTGCTCTGGTTTTTGTTCGTGGGCGACCGTTTGAGGTAGGATCAGATCCTGGTGGGATCACCCAAGTGAGGGAGAACTCTCAGAGCCCAACCAGGAACTGCAACCACGGAGGCAAAGAAGGTAGTCCGAAGCTCAGGGCAGCCTGTTGAGGCTGGCCCGAAGATGCGACAGAACAAACTTAAGAAGGAAGCGGAGAGAAGATATCGAATTTGAGTCCGGGAAAGATATTGGAGGCAAAATTGCTGTTGGATTATAACTAGTGGATAATTTGGGAAAGTAAGTGGTGAAAGTCTGAAATTCCAATGTGAAAGGGGGAAAGCTGAAAATGGTGGCAGGACTGAGTTGCCTACCCCCAGTTCTGGATAAAGTAAAACTCATTTCTAAATAGGAAAGTGAAAAGGAGAGAAGAGCAATTACAGTTGGCGATTTTTTTTTTTACTTCTAGCCATATGAACAAATCACGACGAGTACTTTGCGGACAGACAAGAACTCTGAAACTTTAAAATTGAGTTGAGGAGTGACAGTGCAACTTGCGGTGGTGGCCATTGAGACTGGCAATTCCAGGAGAGTGGAGGAAGGCAGTGGAAGTGACTGATAGAACTGAGACCTGAGACCTCAATTTATTATTGGATATAACTGGAATATCAAGGCAATGACAGGAAAGTAGGAGACTGTAAATCCTTCTCTCGTCCAGTGTCTTTTTTTCTTCTTTTTCTTTTTTTCTATTTTTCTTTTAGAACTGATTGAAGTGACATAGACTCACTTTGTATTTATTTATAGTATACATTCAAGTAACAAGAAAATAAGATTGATTTAACTTGAGTAAGTGATATTTAATCCCTTTGGATTATATTCTGTAGTTTTTTTCTCTTCTTTATTTTACATATATATTGATTGAATATAGATTAATGAACTTAATATACTGATTAATGTAATGATGAGTTAATTGATTCTTCCCTCCCTCTCTTTCTCATATCCCCCTTATATTGGATACTGTGATTTACTGGAATATAAAAGGTATTAATTTGAATTTTAAACTTTTATTATATATCTAGGGAAATATTAGCTGAAATACAGTAATTAACTTAAAGAAGTGACTGGGGTTATATTATTGCTATATATCTAAGTACAGCTGAGTGTTTTTTTTCTTTTTTCCTTTATCTGTTAGACAATTTAAGAACTGATGAGTTATTGAACTTATTAAGACTAGGTATTGTATTAATAAAAGGTGAAGGGAATATCTAGAGTAATAGGTGGGTTTGGAATTTTGAATACATAATTATTAATTGATTATAATTCCCTAATCTGACGGTGTTAGGAAATTAGATTAAGCAGACAAGCAGTAGTTTAAAATAAAATATTAGATAAATGAGAAAATTAAATCGTAAAATATGGATAAGGTTGATGGTAGTTGGCAATATAATCTGGGAAAATATATTTAGGATAGTGAAGGAACAACAAGGAATTATTAAAGATATGACGAGTACAACTAGCACTATTACAAAAACAGGAAGAAAAATGTCATCAACAGTAACACCATCTACCCCCACAGTAACATCAACCCAAAAACGATTGAAGGGATGTTGGCACCAGAAAAATCCACAACCCAAACCAATACGCAATCGGTTCAAACTACATTATTAACTATTCAAAGCACAATGTAGGCAATGCAGGAGTCAATGTCTAAAAATCATCCGAAAAGTAAAGCAGAAAGAGAAACAATGAAAGAAGAATTAAAAAATGAGTTAGGAGAAATGAGAAGCGAAGTTAAGAATTTGGATGGAAAGATAGGCCAGATACAGGAATTGATTAAAATAAATGAAGAGAAGATTAAAGAGATTGAAAAATTAGCTGCTCAAATGGAAAAGAAGTTGGAAGGCATGGAACAAAAAATTATGGAACAGAATAAAGAGATAAATGAGACGCTGACTCATCTCGAGATGGATAAGGCCTCCTATTATCTAAGGTTCCAGAATGTAGAGGAAGAGCGGGGTGAGAATTTAGCATTGGTGATGATGGAGATATTGGCAAAGCTTTTGAATAGAGACAAGAATGAGATGGTGAATGAGCTGGACAACGTATATAGAGTGTACATGAGCTACACAAGATGGCACAGACTACCCTGAGAAGTGCATATTAGATTTGCAAGGAGGTGAGTGAAAGATATAATTTATAGAATTACAAGAGATGAAGGAATAAAATATTAAGGCAGAGAAGTGATTGTTTTGAAACAGATCCCGAGAAGAGTTTGCGAGCAGAGGAGAGATTATTGATTTCTCATAAATTATTTAAATAAAAAAACCATACCTTTTAGATGGATTATCCCAGAGGGCATCTTAGTAATATGGAAGGAGAAAAGGGTGAGAATAGATAGTCTGACTAAAGCTCAATAATGTTTTGATCAAATAGGAGGAATAGAGGAAGAATCGAGCAGCAAAGATGATCATGAGATCATGAGACCTCAAATCAAGAAGAGTTACAACTTAGAAGCAGGGGGAGGGAGAAGGAGAAGGAGAGGGAAGGAGATGAAGAGATACTTGGAAGAGAAGAAATAGGAGTGAGGACTAGAAGTCAAACGACGAGCAAAAATACTGAGAGATAGAAGTAAGAAGGGAAATGGATAAAGGGGTGAATTTAACATCTATAAATATTAATGGGTTAAATGATCCAGTTAAAAGAAAAAGAGTTTTTTTTTTAAGTTGGAAAAACAAAGAGCTGATATGATTTGTATCCAAGAGGTTCATATTAAGACACGTGATCAAGGATATTTAGTAAATAAAAAACCGGGGAAAATGTATTCAGCATTGGCGGAAGAGAAGAAAAGAGAGGTAGTACTATATATAAAAGAGGACATAGCCTCAAAATTGGTTTATAAAGGTGAATTGGGAAGAATAGTAATGGTAGAGATGGTAATACAAAATAAAAAGACATTATTAGTGGGGATATATGCTCCCAATAAAAATCAAAGTGAATTTTACAAAACTTTATACGAGAAATTAATAGAATTTGGTAACTCAAGAATTTGTATTATAGGAGATTACAATGCAATAACAAACAATAGTCAAGATTATGCCTGTGAACAAAGACAATATAAGAAACAGAATACATTGCCTAAGAAATTTCTAGAGATGCTTGAAGTATTAGAACTTGTGGATGTGTGGAGGAAGAGAAACCCAGGAATATCACAGTTCATTTTCTACTCCAGCCCACACAAATCATGGTCCAGGATAGATATGGCTTGGGTAAATTGTGAGTTATGGAAGGAGATTCAGGATATAAAGATTTTGGCTAATACATGGGCAGATCACAATCCGGTACAGATAATATGGAAAAATAGTTTCTGACTTCCAGTTGCAAGGCTTCGGCGGTGGCAGGAATCCGCTTCTCTGCGGGTCCCTGCTGCGCTTGCCGCTGAGGTTCCCCCGATCCAACTGGATTTGGGGGTTGTCGCTACCCTGAAGGGGTAGCGGAAGACAGAGGAGATCCAGGCAGGGGTCTGGGGATATCTCACCCCCTTTCCCCAGCCAGCTAGATTCCTTTTTTCTGAGGCAGTGGAGCGGCTGTCAGAAATGGCAGCCACAAAGAAATCTTCAACCGGATAAGACTGTGCAGGAGGAAGAGCCAGAAGGAGAAGTTTTCTTGGCTGAACCGGGACATTAAGTTACTTTTAAAACACCCTGGAAACCTGACTTTCGGACTGATACATTTGTTTCCAAAAGAAGTTGTTAAAGCGGCAAAAGTGCTGAAGGAAAGTTCACTCCCCTTCCTTACGGAGAAAGCAAATAGGCACAGAAAAACCTGCTTTTTAAAGGTAAAAATAAGCTCCTTGTTACAAGTGGGAAGGAGAGGACTAAAAAAAAAAAAAATCTTTAAAACTTTGTTGGAGGAGACGCCTTGAAGATTATAAGACCATCAATTAACTGTAATACGGCTTTTAAAATATATTTGGGATTTTGCCCCTGGAGGAAAAATTGTAAAGAGAAGAAGAGGAAATAATTTTTGTTTGTTTGGATTGTTTGATAACTTTGACATTTGGAAATTACTTTAAGATTGAAAACATCTGGGTTGCTTTTAAAAATTTACAATGGCACCATCTGTGGATGAACTAAAAATGGAATATGAAAAATTAAAAGAAAGAGAGCAAAATGGCAACGATTCCTTGGGAGCTGTCTTCCACTTTTTAGAAATGGCGGTTTCTACGTACCAGCAAATACTTGAAGAAGAAGGAGAAGGAGAAGAAGAAGAAGAAAAGGAAGAAGCCATCTTTAATGGACTAAAAAGTTCGATTAAGAAAGAAAATGGGAAGAGAGGAAGGAAAAATGAGAATTTAAGATTTAATAAAACAACCAAGAAAAAAGAAAAATAGGGTGAAAAAAAGGTACAATGTTAAAAAGCAATTGAAAAGAGAATTACAACAGAGAAGGGAAGTTAAAAAGGGGGAGGTTAGGAGAGGGGGGTGCAAAAAGACCAGACTGGAGAAGAAAGGGAGGGGAAAAGGGAAAAAAAGCCACAGGCTAGAACAAGATGCCAAAAAGCAGATTTTTTTAGAGATAAAGGATAATGGATAGTGTATAATTAAAGAAAGATTCTGCAAGAGTACATAAGATAGTATTGTAGTATTTGCATTTGAAATAGTCTATTGGAATATTTAATAAAATATTAAAATATTAAAATGTTTAATAATGATAGATCTCAATATTTAATAAAATATTAAGGAGAACTTGTAAAATGATTAATGTTTAGTTATAGTTTAATTCGTTATTGTCTTAATGTTATTATAAACTTAGTATTTCATTTTCTTATTCGAAAAATAGTTTCTATAAAAAAAGGTAGATGGACACTCAATTCGCAATTATTGAAGGAGGAAGAATATATTCAAAAAATTAGGGAAGAACTGACAAGTTTTTTAAAATTTAATAAGAAACAGGATACCTTATTGCAGAATCTATGGGATACTATGAAGACATATTTAAGGGGAATATCGATAGCTTTTACAGCAAATAGAAATAAAGAAAGAGAGGGAAAGTGGAAAGCTCTAATAAAAAGAATAGAGAAAATGGAAAATAAGCAAATGGAAACCCCGGGAGATGAGCAAATCAGAAATGAATTAGTGCTAGTTAAACATGAAATGAATATTTTAGATCAAGAGGAATTAATTAAAAATTATTATATACAAAACAAAATTATTTTGAGCATGCAAATAAATCCAATAGTTGGCTGGCATATAAATTAAGAAAAGAAAATCAGAAAAGAACGATATATCAATTAGAGAATAAAAATGGAATAATAGAGATGGATCTGGAGAGAAAAAAGGAAATCACAAGAGAAATTTTTTGAGGATCTTTATAAACAAGAGGAAGTTGATTTAAATAAAATAGAAGAATATTTGAAAGAAGGAATTCTGTACCCTTTATTGGATGATAAAAAAGAGCTGCTTAATAAAGTAATAACTTTAGATGAACTAAATGCGATGATTCAAAAACAAAAAAGAAACAAAACGCCAGGTCCAGACAGGTTATCAAATGAATTATATAAAGAGACAGGTGCCACACTAGAGAATATGCTATTAGAGATCTGTAATGAAGTATTACTGGAAGCTAAAATTCCGGAATCATGGAAGGAAGCTTACATAACATTGATTCCAAAAGAGGATGCCAAATAAAGAATTATAGACCAATATCTCTTTTAAATTCAGATTATAAAATTTTTATGGTGATAGTGGCGGAAAGATTAAAGAAAGTACTTAGTAACAAAATTCATTCGGATCAAAATGGTTTTCTTCCCACGAGGCAGATTAGATATAATACAAGAATAATAATAGACATATTAGAATATTATGAAAAACATCCAGGAAACCAAGTGGCCTTGGTCTTCTTGGATGCGCAAAAGGCTTTTGATAACTTAAATTAGGACTTTATGAAGAAGCAGATTAACTTGATGGACTTTGGAGGTAATTTTGTAAAACTGTTAAATGCAATTTATGCTACACAAAAGGTTAATGTATTATTAAATTGAGAAATTACTAAATCATTAAAGATAAGGAAGGGTGTCAGACAGGGATGCCCTCTTTCACCTCTGCTTTTCATAACAATTTTAGAAACTCTGTTGGATAGAATTAGATCAAATAAAGAAATTAAAGGAACCAAAATTAAAAGTCAAGAGTATAAATTACAGGCCTTTGCAGATGATATGGTTTTTGTTACAGAAGCTCCAATAGACTCAGGACCAGCTTTACTAAATGAAATAGATAAATTAGGTAAACTAGCAGGATTAAAAATTAATAAGGAAAAAACTAAAATGCTTGTTAAAAATTTATCAAATAGTAAACAAAAAAAATTGGAAGATGGGATTACAAACTGTAAATAAGATCAAATATTTAGGCATCTGGTTAAGAGCTAGAACATTAAATCTGCTGGAGGACAACTACACCAAATTACTGAAACAGAATGAAAAGGATATGGAAAATTGGAATAAGATGCAAATTTCATTATTAGGCAGAATAGCAACAATCAAAATGAATGTTTTACCCAAAATACTATATCTGTTTCAAACAATTCCGATATCGTTGGATGAAAAATTCTTTAAAGAATTAGATAAAATTGTGATGAAATTTATCTGGGCAAAGAAAAAAACAAGAATAAAAAAATATATTTACAAGATAACAAAAGCAGAGGTGGATTTGGACTCCCTGCCTGGGAGATCTATTATAAAGCGGCGGCATTAGTATGGATAAAAGATTGGATTAATCTGAGGAACAATAGAATTTTAAAATTGGAGGGCCACGACTTACAATTAGGGTGGCACACATTTTTGTGGAACCTGAATAGCCAAAACAATCTATACTTTACTAGACATGTATTCCGAAAGTTAATAATTAAATATGGGCTGATATTAGAAAAAATCATTATACCAAAGTTCCAAGGTGGTTTTCAACAATGGAGGCAATGTTCCACTTAAATACGATGGATATCAGTAAAAAACTGAAGTACCATCAAATATTAGATAAAGAGGGAAGAATGAAAATGATACAGGAACTTGAAGCACTAGGAATAGTTATTGATAATTGGTCATATTTCCAAGTAAAATTGAGATATAATAAAGACATAAAGGTATATGGAATTGAGGTAAAAGATACGCATTTAGACAAAATACTTTCAAGTCCTGAGAAAGGGTTGATTTCTAAATTATATAATTACTTATTAGAACATGAAATGGCCAAGAGAATCGTGAAAGGACCTATGTTAGCTTGGGGAAAAAAAAATTGGTTACAGTTTAGATCTGGATGACTGGGAAGAAATTTGGCAAAATATCTCATATTAACTAAATCAGTGGCACATAAGGAGAGTCTGTACAAAATGATGTATAGATGGCATCTGGCACCCTCTAGACTGGCCAAAATATTTCCGACAGCAAACCCATGCTGTTGGAAATGCAAAGGGAAATTTGGTGCTTACTTTCACTTATGGTGGACCTGTCCTGAGACAAAGAAATATTGGTTAAAAATAAAAGAGTGGATAGAAGAAATTATAGAGTGTGGGCTGGAGTGGAAACTGGAACTGTTCCTGTTTGGAATGATTAAAGGGGATTATACCCCTAAAGTAAGATATCTGACCATCCACTTATTGACAGCGGCACGGATTTCATTAGCGCAATACTGGAAGAATCCAAATGTACCACCAATACATATTACTATTCAAAAAATCTATGAGTGTGCCCAATTGGAGAGGCTCACACTCAAACTCAATGGCAAGGAGGACACAAATTATTATAGGATATGGGATAAATGGTACAACTGGGTAGACTGTGAAGGGAAAACATGTAAATGAACCCAAGAAACAAGTTATATTCAGGTGTCTATATGAAATGTATAAGAATAACAAAGGTGTTAAATCCTCTTTTCTTCTACATTATTATTAGCATTATATATTCACTATATCTTTTTATTTATTATTTTAAAAAGTATGAATGTATTATTAATTAATAAATAGTTATAAACCAACGAGAAGATTAGTAGAGCATTGTGAGTTACTTAGTGATTAAGATGTGATAGTAAATGGAAATGTGAGAAGTATCAGTAATGACTATTAGGACGTATCAAATTCGATATCAAATTGTAAAGAGAAATGTGTTATGTATACACTATTGGTTTTGTACTTTTAAATTTGTATGTTTTTAATTCTTGTAAATAAAGTTTTTTAAAAAAACAGGATCTCTTCAGTTAGGCGTCAGTGACCAAAAATTAAATATTTCACATCCAACCTCTTATCTCACTTAATTCATCATGTACCATTTTATCTCTGTTGAAATGGGTTTTTAGTAATATTGCAACTGGACTTGCCATCAAATCTCACTTCATGATAAAAATAAAATAATCCATGCTGTTTTGGAGAGTTTTGCGGAGAGAAAACATTAGTACAGCAGGAATGTAAGGTAAAGAGGGGAAAGATATTAACCAATGACCCTTCTCATGGAGTTTTCCACCACTAAAACCACAGCCGTTCTGTGCTATTTACCAGGAAATAGAAGGGAAAGACAAGATGTCATCTCACCCATGACTATCCAATGCTGAAAGAATCCAAGAACAAGCAAGCTGAATAGTTCCCTTTTCCCGGCATCTTTTACAGAAAAAAGGGAGAAGAGAAATGCAATAATCTAGACAGGCATAAAAAGTCTTCTCTCCGAGCAGCAGAAGTCTAGTTTCTGCAATGAAATGTTTTTAGAGTCTTACAAAATGGAGGTCAGAGGTTATATTAGTTGAACAGTCACTGAGTCATCTGGCTCAAAAGGAGCACAGCTAATCTCCCATCTAGTCCTGAATGTGCCTCACACTGAACAAGCAGCATTAGCAGACTGCGGTTAGAGGAGAATACTTGTTTGCTCTCACCACTTTTAGGAATACACCAACAACCTCATATAATCACCTTCCCCCTTTGGAGAATTTGTCCCTCTTCAAGCTTTTCTTGCAAAGCTGATGTGAGAGGGGCTAAAAACTTCCTTCCATTTTCTCCTTCATCTTAATCTACATTTATTTTACGATGTGGCACCACAGAGATTCTCAGTATTCTTATTCCTCAAACATACTTTTTTTACAACACAGAAAGCAAAGGCTAACACAGTCTCATCCCTTTCTGAGCTTCACCAGTGCCCCATGCTCTCAACAGGGTGGGAAAGGAGAAAATGCCCCAACTCAGCCTTTGCACCCTGCGTTCCTCAGCCTGAGAAAAATCAGACCAGATGGCTGCTGTCCTTATCTAATTGCATTACACCAACATGCTTGACAAAGAAAGCCTTTAAGCTAATGAATGGGTGGTGGTGCTTGGGGGTTGCACACTAGGATTTACACAGAGAGGAATGCCCCAGGTTGGGTAGAGAAGGATGGCAATTCTGGCAACATGCGGACACTTGAGGGATTTTAGAATCCACTAAAATGGGATTGCCTACGGAACCATTTTGGTCTATATATGCACTCACATTTGTAGTAAATATTAAATACTAAACATGCAGAATGTTAAAACAATGAGACGTGCAAGCACATAAAAAAGGAAATCATTCCGTGCGCATTAATTTCAGTTTCTAAATGTCTATGTCTTCTAGTAGTTACTGGACTGGATTGCACAGGATTTCCCATTTCTAAGGGCATTCTTTTTAAGGCATTCCCAGTCATAAAAGTAGAAGGTGTGTATGTCAACATTGGCAGAGACGTAAACTGCTATTTCCCTTTGCTCTAAGGGCATGGGGTGTGGAGACGTTGCAATTGTCAACAGTGATTCATCCCTAGTACTGAAAACAGATACCTGGGCTCCATCCATTGCACCTGAAACTCAAGGGAGGATGATGTTTCTTACATGTCGCTGAATTATTTTCTTTGAGGAGCTAAACAGTAGGATTGAAAGACCACCAGAACATCCTTCTGTGAATATGTTATTAATCCATTGCCAAGTACAGAAATCACATACAGATGGTCCTTAAATTACAGCAGTAATTGAGCCTGGAATTATAGTCATATCGGTCATTAAGCAGGTCATCATGCAACCACACTCAATTTTATGACCTTTCCTGTGGTGGTCATTAAGCAAATACCAAATGTACCCAAATGGCATTTTTCTGGAAACCAGAAGTAAATGCTGGTTTCAGGCAAAACCATGCTAAATTGTGGTCACAAGGGATGCTGCTGTAAAAGTAGGTGGCTGCCAAGCATCCAAAATATGATCATATGATTGCTGGGGGGGGACGAGGGGGGGGACAGATCTTGGAGTCTTAGTGGACAACCAGCTAAATATGAGCCACCAGTCTGCAGCAGCAGCCAAAAAAGCTAATGCAATCCTAAATTGTATTAACAGAGGGATACAGTCAAGATCAAGGGAAGTACTAATACCACTCTATAGAGCCTTAGTAAGACCACACTGAGTCCAGTTTTGTTCAGCACATTATAAAAAAGATGTTGCGGCTCTAGAAAAAGTACAGAGAAGAGCAATCAGGATGATTAGGGGACTGGAGGCTAAAACATACAACAAACTGTTGCAGGAACTGGTCTTGGCTAGTCTAGTAAAGAGAAGGACCAGGGCAGACATGATAGCGGTCTTCCAATATTTGAGGGGCTGCCACAGGGAGGAAGGGGTCAAGCTATTTTCTAAAGCAACTGTAGGCCAGACAAGGAATAATGGATGGAAACTGAACAAGGAGAGATTTAACCTGGAAATAAGGAGAAACTTTCTGACAGTGAGAACAATCAATCCATAGGACAGAAGTTGCCTTCAGAAGTTGTGGGAGCGCCATCACTTGAGACTTTCAAGAAGAGATTGGACTGCCATTTGTCAGAAATGGTGTAGGGTCTCCCGCTTGGGTGGGGGGTTGGACTAGATGACCTACAAGGTCCCTTCCAACTCTGATTATCTGTATCTGGAACTTCAAAACCAGGTTGCAAGTTACTCTGGGGAGGTCTGTCATAACTCTATTTGCTAAGCAACTAAGTCATAAGCTGAGGACTTCTTGTATTTCAACACCATCCCCCTTCTTGAATTCTTTGGTCTAAAGAGCAAGTTGGTAACAGATTAAGTGCACATAATAAATATATTTATCCAGAGTAAATCAATAAAACTGTATTATACAGCCTGTAAAGAAGATGATCTTGGAAGAAATATGCAAGTTGGCAAGAAATATAACATAAGTTATAAGTCCACAATAGTCAGATAATATTAGGAAGTGGCTCTGGCAGATATCTCCCTAATTCATTGAACTATAAATAATGGAAGGAGAGAACATAATCAGATTTCCGAGGTTCTGTTATTATAGCTGATCTCAATCAATAGAAATAGTTTTAACTTTCCTCTTGAATTGATTTTTTGGTTTGTTGTGCTCAGTCAAGCTTTCAGAAATAGCAAGGCTGTTGTCATTCAGAATTGATATCCACGTTTCTACCTAGATTGTAATCAAGATAGCCAACAACATGTAACTTATACAATTAAAATCTTATTAAAATGTTTTAAATGACTACTAATTCAAACTAATCTGCTTCAAATAAAAGGTTTTACTTTTCCTAAAAAGCAGGAGTAAGGCCAAGCACAATGTCTAAGGGAATGCATTCTCGTGCCTGGAAGCAACGCCAAGACAATATCTTTAACCAGATGGAGCACTGATCCCAAGTTTATAATACCAGAAAAGATCATTGAGAAAAGGTGGGTTATACTTTGGCATGAGAAAAAATCAGCAGAACGGCTAAAATGAACATTTGTATTCCCAAAACTACAAAAAATGCAGGGAAAAAGATTTGGAACACTTTTATCTATTAACTTGAAATATTCTTCATATCTTCTGTTCCTCCTTTGGAGCTACTAAGTAGCCATGTCTCAGCTAATGATTGTTACAGACTATATTTACTGACTTTTTTCTACCAAATATACAGAAGTTCTACTGAGACCACCAGTGTATTTAAATGGGGGGAGGGGGGGATGCTGCAAACCAATGCAGTCACATTGGTTTGGAGTCAATATTTTTATTCAGCTTTACAGGTTCACATTTTAGTAGATCCTTCAATGTTTTCTAGTCTCCTGCACCTATTCTCCTGCCATTAATAGCAAAACTTTCTATGCCAACTCTTGAAATTGAGTTTATTTGGTACAAACTGCAGACCTCTCCCTGTTACCAGGCAATGCTAAACACATATTTAACCAGTCTGCACATTAGGACATAGAGCTGGAAGAAAAGAGCACAACATGCTGGGTTGCAAGATGGAAGGTTGAACAGAACAATGTGAATATTTCTCAAGCTTTCAGATGTGAGGACTTCAGCTCCCAGTATTCTCCCAGCCAGAATGTTGAACAGGACAATGATCAGACAAAGAAACAACAATGAGCAAGCTGGGGGAATTCTGGAAGTTGAAGTGCACACATCTTAAAATTGCTAAAGTTGAGAAACACTGACAATGGGAAATAAGAACTGGAAGTACTGGATATTTCCATTATTACACTAAGCACTCAAGTTATTCTGTGTTTCTAAAAATAGGCTAATTAAAAAAAACATTCTTCAAGGGATGCGTTGCTTTTAATGTATCTGATATTTTCCATGTTTGTTATTAAGGTGTAATCAGACAGTTGACTTTTAATGTCACACAGATTCAAAAGGTAGAGCTCTTGGTTTAAACTCTGTTCTGTGGGGCAGAGTAATGTTTCTACCTTTGGGGAAATCATTTGGTACAGGAACAATGGAGTTATTTAAAAACATGTATAGCCCTAACCCTAGTCTTCCTGCATTCCATGATTAGGATATTGAAAAATAGGTTAAGTGGAAGTGCAATCCTGCCCACTCGTATTCCACGGATATCTCACATCCTAAACATGCTAGAGAGGGCAAAAAGCACCTTTCCTTTCAGGAATATAATGATCAAAATAAAAAGTGAAATTATTTGCTCCTGTATCTCAACCCACATTTCCCAATTCCCAAATTTATTTTGTAAAATAAATTTGTAAAATAAAGGGGTACAACTGTAGTGTACAACTGCTGGAATTGTTCCAACCACTTTACCAGCAGATAACAGATAATCAAAGTTGGAAAGGACCTTGTAGGTCATCTAGTCCAACCCCCCACCCAAGCGGGAGACCCTACACCATTTCTGACAAATGGCAGTC